TCTACTATAGACGATAGTAGACCTCAATGTGTTCTATAGACAACAGAAGACCTCAAGGTCTACTATAGACAGTAGAAGACCTCAAGCTGATATATAATAGCAAATAGAAGATCTCAAGATCGTCTATAAAACATAGAAGACCTCAAAGCCTTCTAAAAAAGATAGAAGACCTCAGACCTCAGAAAAAAGATAGAAGACCTCAAGGTCTTCTATAGAATATAGAAGACCTCAAGGTCTTCTATAGAATATAGAAGACCTCAGGAGCTTCAATAAAATATAGAAGACCTCAAGGTTTTCTATAAAATATAGAAGACCTCAAGGTTTTCTATAAAATATAGAAGACCTCAAGATCTTCTATAAAATATAGAAGACCTCTAGATCGTCTATAAAATATAGAAGACCTCAATACCTTATATATACAGCAGAACTTCTATAGATTGCTCTCTCAATACTATACAGGATTCTGTATTCTCCAGATCCCTTTTGTATTAGAAGACTTGTAAGCGCGATATAGACAATATTTTGGTATTCTATAGGAATTTTAGGATCTCTAGATTGATCATTTATAGGCAATCGGTGACCACTAATTCTTTTAAAGGCATAGGTGACCACTTGGTCTGATATGGATCTCTGAATCTTATATAGTCAACACAAGAAATCTATATCTTCCATATACAATAGAAAATAATTGGTCATTTTATGGTAAGGACAGTACCATCAGGTTTTCATTAGGCCATATGAGGTCTCAAAGCCTTGAGGCGTTGTACCATCAGGTTTTCATTAGGCCATATGAGGTCTCAAAGCCTTGAGGATCTCTAGATGGATCATTTATAGGCAATCGGTGCACACTAATTATTTTAAAGGCAATATGAGACCACTTGGTCTTTTATGGATCTCCGAATCTTATATAGTCAATACAAGAAATCTATATCTTCCTTAGACAATAGACCATAATTGATAATTTTAAGGTCAGGTCAGTACCATCAGGGTTTCTTTAGGCAATATGAGGTCTCAAATCCTTCTATAAACGATATAATGTTCAAAAGAAGAGGGCTTTATCACATGACCACTTTGACTCACTAATGATGGGGGTTAAAAATAACTTCCGGCCCTTTCCAAGACATGTTTTCCCTACAAATTTCTACACTGCAACGCAATTTCTTTGAAACTAAACCATTTTGTTGAATAGCCTACTATTAATACACCACCGCTAAAGCTAATATTGGTTAAGCTAACAACGAATATAACATTTGCAATCCAACACACAAATTAGACCAATTACGAGTCCGCCAGCCATTTGCTTCACAACCTTCCCTCTAGCTTACTATTTTCAGTAAGAAAAAAATGTATACCATCGACCAACCATACCATAAGTATTCATTCCATCAAACAAATATGCAAAGAGAAAAAGAAGCCAATGAGTCATATACCATATACGACGCTTAGTAATACCGAAACATGCCGGTATTATAACGCAAGGGGAGCATTTTGAATATTCAAAGCAAATATACTAAAAAAATTCGAGCAGGCGGGTAGTCAGACACAACAGCAAATTATTCGTATAATGCGTGTGTTTGTATGTGGTTGTTGCAAAATTTTGTTGTATAGTAAAGAAGTTCAAGTAAAACAATGTCTGAGGCGACCAAGCAAAGAAACAAATAATAAAACATGGCATACAATATTTTTTGTATTAAAGACGTTTGTGTGCGTGGGTGTTGATTTCCAGAGTGTCAAGAATTTCCTTCCAGCCATAAATGCGCTTAAGAATGATCATCGTTTGTCGGTTTTGTTTTTTTGGAAGGCAAGCGTGTGCCATCACCAAAAATAACAAACAGAAAAATAACGACCAGACGACAATGTGATTTAAATCATATGCTAAAAAAAGTGGATGAATGGAATATATTTTTGTGATGATATACAAGGAAATTGTGAATGTTTTTTACTCATCGCAAAAATTAGATGTGATTTAACAAATGCTTAATTTTCCTATTTTTTATGAAATGTGGAAAACTCATTCGTTTTTTGAAAAGCACATTTTTTATATTTTTTCGTTAAAATGTGGAATATATAAACGCTTATTCTTATTCATATTCTAGCAATTGTTCCATATCTTATTTTTTTACTTTCAAAAAAATAGAATTTTTTGTTTGCCATTATTATGAACACGTTGTTGGTTAATGGCCATAAAAAATAGCTTGTTATGCTAATTCATTTCCTACACACACAAAACCATTTGGCCAAGTTTATTGTTAAAGCACAATTGATAATTCTTGCAAAAAGGAAATTCAAATATTTGTCTAGCAGAAAAAAATTCAATTGAATTTGAGATATGAAAAAAATCTATACATAATAGAATATAACGGATATTAGTAATAAATAATATTAAAGACAAAAATATCCTTAGATAAATTTAATAAAAAATAGAGAATTCTTGGAGAATAAATATTTAAAAAATCTAAGCCGAGAGACAAATTTGGAAACAATTACATATAACAAGCGACTAGAAAGATATTGGAAAAAATATTTAAATTATTCTTCCACGATTAGAGTAGTCAATGATGTCAGAAAGCAAAACTTTATGGTTAATACAGGTCTTGGATTTTACAATTCATCATTGTTGACGTTGCAAAAGAACGAGTTCAACGGGGCTATTTCATTTGATACAATATGGACTAAAAGGCCCTTTGGAACTGGAAGAATGACCTAGTTCCGTGCCAGCTAATTCCAGAAGAGCATTTAATTAATGGTTATTAATATATCTGAATGAAAAAAATGACTTAAAAAATGTCAATCCATTCCATATCTCAACATGGATACTCCCCTTTTGTAAAAGTCAAATTATTAAATATGTTTTTCCTTTTGGCATAGGAAATTTCAAATGTATGCCTTTTAACGTATTCTGCAATCAGCTCCTACACATATTGGTTTGCTATACTCAAAATTAAAATTATTAATTGACATATAATAAGTTAACATATGGAAAAGTACTATTTATCTGAATTTTAAATTAAACTACTGAAATCATCTTCGCTGACTTGGTCACATTTCTTTTCTATATCCTTCCTACTTCAGTGTCACATCGCATGGAATGTAAGAGGAATTCGACTCTATGTGGTTTATATCTGAATTGGTTTCTATATATATCTACTATCCCTACACTGATATTTTTGTACCTGTAATCAAAATTGCAATTATCAATTGGCGTATAATAAATAAAACTATAATAGACTAACTTACTATTACCCCGAACAGATAATATACCTATATAATGAAATATATAGTTGTTTATTTATTGTAGCCCTTCATCGTGAACAAATAACTGCTTTGACCTCATCCCTTCATTTCATCCCTCGTATTTTAATAAGATATTGAAACATACAGTATCCCTAAGTGATTTATACGAGAACTGGTTCATATTTATTGCAATCTAAGGTATTAGCAATATTTCAAAAAGACCTGTAATCAAAATCGCAATTATAAATTGATGTATAATAAATAAAACTATAATAGTCTTTTTTCTATTTCCACGAACAGATATTATGCATATATAATGTAATATATTTGTAGCCCTTCATGTGGTTTAACAAATATCTGCCTTGATCTCATATGTGGTTTACTTCTTTCTTACTACAGTGAAATTAAAATATTTTATGTTTGCAGTCCCTACACTACCCAATTATTTTGTTTTTAATGTAGATGGTTCCTGTAATGAAAATTATAATTATAAATTGGCACTTTATAAATAAAACTATAAACTACTTACTATTTATATGAACTGCCAAATAAAACCACTTAGTTGCACTTTGCCTTCTGGCACTAAATTTAATATGTTGTTTCATGATGAAATATGTATTAACTGCCTTGACCTCTTCTCTTTTTGTATCCTTTGAAATAAAGTCGGACATTTCTTACTTAATTAAGCATTCTAGCTCACAATTACTAATTGGAACAAGGTTATAGTTGCTCTTATTGAAATCGCAAAAAAAACTACAGCTATCAATGCTTGGCAAATTGCAATTAATTGGCCACTTGCTGTTAATAAAGAATTGCTGATTTACTGTATATAGAATAGGTCAAAATGTTATAATTGCATTTCCACAAAATTATCCATTGGTATTTTACATATAATTCCAACATAAATTCGATTATTTATTAAGTAATTTAAGATATGGAGGGAAACTTTCATTATTTAACTGCCAAATACACCATCACCTGTCTGTCATTGCTTGTGCATTCTCTACACTTCAGTTCATTTATTATTTCTCCCTTAGGTACTCTCAGGTAATTGAACTGTTTTCTCTCTCGCACTTTTATTGCTACTCTACTATTTTTGTTTGATACCGTGGGTAATGTGTTTGTTTTTGCTATTGTGTCTTACTCAACCAATACAAATTTCAAGTAATGTGGGGGTTGTTCAGTCGCCTTCTACTCTACTCAACGACTCTCAAATGACAGTTGATAGGGCGGGCGGCATGATTGCATTAAACAACAAGAAAAAATATAAATATATACAAACAAAATGGCAACACATTGTTATTAATTTCTATACATTAAAGTTGTTGGTGTTGCTTGGCTTTTAGTTAATGTCATTTGTTATTGCGGCTGCTTTTGTTGTTGTTGATTAGAGAGCTGTTTACTTCTCATTCTTCTACTTTTTTGATACATATTTCTGTCAATTTCTGTTTTGCAATGATGAGAGAATAACACAAAACTTTACTACGAACGAAAAAGCAAAACGAAAGAAACATCAAGAAAAAGGGGGGTTATGGACAAAATGACGTCATCTGACAATTAAACCTAACCCCAAAAATATACCAGCTGCTGTGCAAATATAATCTTCGAAAAAAGAAAATATAGCTATTGAACAACTAGCAAAAATAAATAGTTCTCTATCAGGAGGGTGAAGCACAAAACCATGTAATTTCTTAAATTAAAATGTTGTCCGTCCATATAGAATGTGTGGGTGTGTGTTGTTGTGTTTGATAATTGTTGCAACTTACCCCTATAGAAAGACAATTTTCCTCAGCACTGTTGGGAAATTTCACAATAAACTTGGAGCCGGCTCTTTCCTCGCTATCGTTCAATGGACGAAAACGACACACGACTTTAATACTATCCTCTGCTGGTATCTCACGTTCCGCAGACATTTTGTTAGAATTTTCTTGTGGCGGCAGCTGGTGGTGTGATGATGGAAAATGATGTGTTGTTATTGTTTTTTCAGACTTCAAGTTCAAATCCCCTTGGTTTAATTATTGCAAATGAAAACACAATAAAATAGCTGGTGGCTAGCTGTATTAGAAGGCTGCACCTTTCACTTTTTTCTTATTTCCAAAATTTTTCTTAGGGTTTTTGTTTTGTATTAACACACTTGCGAAACTAGATTGGGAGTGCAGAAAAAACGAAAATAATTTAAATAAAAATCAAAATATTAAAACACAATTTTTCACTCGTTTTTTGTATTTTTTTCGCTGCCGCACAAAGCTCACTAACACAAACACAATGTGGATTGTAGTGGAGTCAACGACGACTATCCATCCAACAATAAGAAAAAGGTGAAATGAACGAAGATGTCTGACAAATGTACACTTCAATACTTTTTTCTTTCTTTCCACTATTTTCTTGGTGTGGCAAAATAAAAAATGTAAATAACTTTATTTCCTAGAAATGATTTTTCTCTCAATAAAAAACACTTTTTTGTTTATCGCAACACGTTAGACTTTTTCCCATACGTACATATGTGTATGCAAAAAAAAATCAATTGGAAAATGATGATTTTGGGAATGGTCTGCTGCTGTCACAAATATTGCTCATCATTTGCACACACACACACATAAACAGGCATACACTCACGCACGTACACACACTGCCTCAACTATGCGGAAAAGCAAAAAAAAATTATATAGATATAAAATTCACTAGAAAACTAATATTTTTCGTTAAATAAAACTTTTATTTTCGAGATCTTTTTGTTGAGAATTATTTTTTATAGATTTTTATAACATTTTTTCACTATTAAATAAGAAAAACTTTTTGCTTTACTTCATGAATTTTGGAGATTTTGATAGAAATCGAAAATTTTCCTTTACGACCACTCTCGTCACTCTCAATGACAACCGACGATTGCCAGAATGGATGGATACTTTTTGCAATTGTCAGTAGTCAGGTTGTATTTTTTTTGAGGTTACTTGGTGCAGAATACCATTTTTGTGTATGGCAATGCCACAGAGTTGCAAAGTGTAAGTACGTTTAATAGGGGTGTAAATAGGTGCTTTAACTTTGAAGAAAAAAATAAAAGAAATTATATAAAAATATTAATTAATATATAAAGTAAACAAAGGAAATTATTAGAAAAACCAATGAAATTTTCATAGAATACGTAATTATAAGTAATTATAACAAAATTGAGAATTGAAATATATTCAAATTTAATTGAAATGAAAATCATGGCTGTTGGACTACTAAATCCAATAGATTTCAAATGCCAAATTAAAAAAAGGAAAAATTATTATCGTTGTTTCCTGAGCAGAATATAAAAAATAATTTGTATTAAATTTGAGTAACCATTATATAATGCAGATTTAAACATATTTCTAATGTCAAATATATTATGTTTATAATTTTTTTTTTAGAATAGCTATGATTTGAGGTGGATTCTTTGTAATTATATATAAATTGTCCATTAAATTACAAAGTAAATGAAGACAAAAAAATGTATGTATGTAGATTGACATATTTTCAACAATTAATTATTCATATTTTCTGAAGCTGCACATCGTTTTCAATATTAAGGTGGCCATACATCCTCTTTTTTAGAGGACAATCATTTATTTTAACTCGCTGTCATCTATAAAATTTTTGTCATCTATGTGTCATCTGAAATAGAAAATGTCTTCTTGATCAATATTTTAATTTAAACAAATTAATAAATAAGTTTTATGAAATTTCAGTGAAATATTTAGAAAAGGGTTTCGAATCTTAGCAGCAAAAACCGTTTACATTTAACCGGATTTAGTTAACCCAGTGTCAATTCAAATAAATCCTCATGAAGTAGGTTAATCCGGTAAAAAGTTCTAATGTATATGCCGTTTAAGAAACGTACATAAAATGCATTTATAATTAAATGTTTTGCCCGAATTGACTGTTATTTGATATTTTAGGTTATAGGCGTCCCCAATAAAGAAACCCACCTTTTCATTTTTTTTAATTTTACAAAAATTCCATTGTAATGGAAGGTATTTTCAATTCTAAAATTTTAATACATTTAAAACTGAATTTATAAAAAATATGATTTCTTGAAACTATATTGTATAAATGGACCATGTCTATATACTTACTTTGTTATTATTCATCTCAAAAACCTTGATATTCCGTGTAAAAAATTAACATAATAAAAACTGTCAACTTTTTTTTTGCATGGTGTGTACCCACTTTAATATAAATATCTTAATGGGATGCATATCAATTATTTTCATCTGGCAACATTCAACTTGTAAACATTGTGCTACACGTGTGACTGAGTGATTGAATTGGTGCGGTTTTATTTAATATTTTTTCTATAACTTTTTATTAAAAAATCGAATAAAAAATGAGTGACGATGAGCTTAGTGATGATATGCAAGAGTTAAATGAACTCATTGCTGAATATCGTGAAAAGGAGCAAGAGGAAGAAACCAACGAACAAGATGTCGACGAAGAGGAGGAGAAGTCCAATCAAAACAGTGAAAATAAAGACGGAAAGAACAAAAACAATGTGGAAACAAGTGGACCTTTAGAGGTTCCCATGGATAAAGTTTTATTTGGCGATAAAGATAAGCTATTGAAGAATCTTAAAAGGGCGGTGGGTCAGAAGGCCAAGGCAGAGGAGAGTGATACACAATCAGAAGGCGATGATGAAGGTGATGACAAGGAGGACGAGAGTAGTACCGGCAAAAAGAAAAAACGTAAACCAGTATGGGTTGATGAAGACGATGAAGCTATACAATTGGGTGACGTGAAAAAGGAAACCAAACACACTGGTCCCTTGGATCATTTGAAGCTGGATAAGACATATAAGGAACATTTGACTGCACGCTTTACCCGTATTGTCAACCAACCGAAATGGGCAAATTTGGATGAAAAAGATAAAGCCAAACACTCGGATGATGAGGGAGATGATGATGATCTACTGAGGACAGTGGGTTTTCTCAATAAACCACCAGAAGGCATTTTACCGGATAAACATATAAGTGCCAAAAGGATGAAAGATGTTAATCGTGCCACCTATGCTGAGGGTAACGTAAATAGTATACAATTTCATCCGACCAGTACGGCCGCCTTGGTGGCAGGTGATAAGGGTATAGCTTCCATTTATGCCATCGATGGTACACAAAATGATAAGCTCCATAATATTCACATACCCAATTTCCCCATTAAGTGTGCCCGTCTGTTACCCTGCGGCACAAAGGCTGTGTTCGGTTCAACGTTGCACTATGCCTATTTATATGACCTAATGACTGCAAAGGAGACCCGCTATAGTCTGCGTAAGAATAGTGGAAATCTGAATAATTTTACAATATCTCCTTGCGGTCGTTATTTGGTATCGGCCGGACGTTGTGGTGAAATCCACATACAAGAAGCCAAAACCTTTGAAATTATTGCTTCCCTGAAACAAAACGATAATGTTGCTTCCATTTGTTTCACGAACGATTCACAGAGACTGATTGTGAGCAGTGATTCGGCCAATGTCTGTGTATTTTCAATGAGGCAACAGCGTTTGGAACATCGATTCCTCGATGATGGTTGTATTGCCGGCAAGGCAATGGATTTGGCACCAAATCAACGTCTCTTGGCCACCGGCAGTATGGAAGGTGTTGTCAATGTTTATGATTTTGAAAATGTTATGCAAACTCAGACACCGTTGCCCATAAAAAGTTTTCTCAATCTAACCACTGCTATTAGCTGTGTTAAATTCAATCATAGTTCGGAGTTATTGGGATTCGCTTCAAGTCGCGTTCCGAATGCTTTGAAATTGGCACATTTCCCATCCGGTACGGTATATGCTAATTTCCCCGGGTTTATGCCGAAAATTGGTAATGTTAGATGTATGGAATTTTCACCACACTCTGCCTATTTGGCGATGGGTAATAATAAGGAGTGTCCTCTGTTTAGACTTAAGCATTTTAAAAATTATTAGTGAAATCATGAGTGAAATGAAATTGGAATTATGTATATTAATGAAATATATATTGCGTGTGTGTATTTTTTATCATTATTTTTTAAAATAAAAGTTTGTTAAGTAAATGCGTGGAAGTCTTTTATTAGAAAAGGAGAGTTACCTAAATCAACAGAAATATTATACTCACTTATCATCAAATTTATTGGTAATATTTCTAGCCACTTTAGCGGTTAATACTTTGAGCTGGACCTAAAGTTTGGAACAAATAGCTGTTTAATTTGAAACTGTTTCATAATTCCACAATAGTATTAAAACAATAAAAAGAAGGTATTTTTTTCATATTCACTTTATTTTTTTTTTTACAAAAAACTATGAGATTCTCAAAATCTAAAATTTGTGCAAAAAGTGTGCTAAATACAAATATATTTATATGGTTCAAAAATATATTCGAGTTTTTTACCGTTCATTTTTTGTTTTTTTAGTTTTTGCTAGACTTTATAAAAAAACACGTTCTACAATGTTTCGTTTTTGTTTGCCTATTTTCTATATAGAGTGAATTTGAGTGTATATGGCATCATATATTTTTTTATATATAAATAAATATCATTTGTATATAAAATAGATTCATAAAAGCAATCAATGTATATTCATCTAAGAGTATTTTTTTCGTTTTGATAATGGATGGGAATGATGTTTTGAAATAAATACTTTAATTATTTAAAATACGAGATTACAGTTCATCACGAGTATGAGTTTCTTTGCAACTACAACTGTGGGTTTGTTCAAGTTTTTCCATGCCGGGTAGAACCATGACAGGTGAGACTAGACGTTGACTCCATTCCTGTAGAAGAATACATTTATTTCAATATTATTTTAAATTTGTTGTTGTTTTGAAAATACCCACCTTAAACAGAGCCATGTGGTAACAATAAATGTGTCTGGGCGTAAGATTTGAGTTGACAAATTCTCGAGCATTTTTTGCCAGCTCCAAAGCTTTGTCTTCGTTTTCTCTTAGCCATGTTATGGTTTCAACGAGATCAGATAAATCCCTCTTAATGGGTAGATAATGTTTATGACCCTTTAGTTTGTGATAGAAATGTTCATAATATGGCGAGCTTTGTTTGAGAACTGTGGATCCACCGCCCAGAAGATAGGGTAAACGATATGAAGCCACAGTGCCATCGATGTTGAGTTGATATTTGTACTGAAAGGAAATAAAGAAGAATATAATTATTAAAGAAATTATTAGATCTATGGGTCATTGAAGTAGCGAAAAAAATATTTTTGAACGGTTCATATTACGGATTTGTCTACATTACAAGATTTAAAACCACAGTTGTTTTAAACGATCCCACGTAGAACCTGGTAACTAATATTTTCTTTCAATTTTAATTCATTTTGAAAATATTTTCCCGATTCTCACCTTAAAGAATTCCATAAAGCTGATATGCGGTACTTTGGGTCCATATTTATGTTCTTCATCGCGGAAAAAGAAGAAATTCGTTAAAGCAGCGTCAATTTTATCCGAGTGTTTGCGGCCCAAAGCAATCAAATCTAAACGTTCTCTACGCGAATCTCTACCCCTCCAGAATAATTTATCAACTTTACTCGACCATGGATATTTTTCACGTTGCACCGACAACACATCCAACGATACACGTTGCATATTTTCCACCGTCGATTCCGTCAAATCATAGGTGGGTAATACTATATCATAAGAATCATCACTGCCACACCATGAAAATATCGGATACGGCCCTGAAGTACGTTGTTGACCACCCTTACGTGACAATGGCCAATCACCTAAATTCAAAAAGAATTCCATATCGGGCAAGGCAACAACACGGCCTAATGCTAAGAGTGTGGCATCCATAAACATTTTAAAGCCATCATATTTGCCGTAACATTTACGCCAAATTTGTTGATCCTTCACGACATAATGGCACAGCGATACGCTCTCCGGTTGGTTGTATCTCTTAATGAGATTATCGCGGATCATACTAAAGTTGACCCTCTTAAAGGAATGTAAATCGCTTACAATTTGATCTTCCTGAGTGGCCGATTTACATTCATTATCGATTAGCCAAATATTCAGATCTCTTGGACAATAACACTTTTCCGAATAGACCAAGTCGCGTATATAATATGGTGATTTAGCTACATGGGAACCATTATAGCGTACATTGATAATCATTTTATCACACCAATCGCTGATAATGCTATAACGGGCAATGAAAGAGCCATCACCACGATTAATCAAATCCACTTTGGAACGACATGGGCCGTGTGGTGATTTGCCATCTATTTGTACATCAAAATTTAGGGGCGGAGATTCATTGAACCTAGAAGAATTGAAATTATTAAAAAATAAAATCTAATGTTGGCGATTTCACTTACATTACTCCATCATCTCCAGCTGCATGTATATAGAAAAATCTAGCCGGTAATACAATTTTATCCGGTTCCAAACCGCTGCCATAAACGGTGGTTTTTGTGGGGTCGACCAGCTTGGGACTGGCGTGACATTGTGCAATTGCAATAGTTAATATAAATATGAGTAATTTCATGATATAGCCAATATGTTTAGAGCGGTGGATCGGTTAGAAAAAACTGAATTTTTTTCGTAAGAAAAAAGTATGTATTTTTTTATTTACATATTCTTCTTCTTTCTTAACCTATGCAGCTAATCACAATGAATGGTGTGTTTGACTAGTGTCAGCATTGCCAGGTGGTATTGCAACTGTTATTTACACAAAACAATTTGTAGAGAGTGGAAGTGTGGCTGGCAGTAAGATGTAATGATTTTTTAATTTATTTAATTTTCTAAAAACTTGTTACATGTTTATATATTATAGTTTTGAAGTATTAATTCATGTTTGTATATTATTCTTCTTTTGTGTTAACCATGCACTGTGAATGATGTGCCTCTTTTTTTATTTCCAGTTCGGGTTGTCAGTTATTTTCACTGAGAGAGAGAGTGAAGGAGAAAGGAAGGAATAAAATGAAAATACCAAAGCGTGGAAATTTTAAAAACATTTTGGTTGACATATAAAGGCGCCTATAAATTTATTTTTAATTAAATTAATTCATCATTGCACCAACAACCTATTTTTATAGGACCCCAATTATGATTTTGTGGAAACCGCCATATCATGAATTTCGCTCAACGCTTGGCGTTTTCAATGTGTGCTTGTAAAACTATTTCGCAAATTCACTTCCCCTGCGATCTGGCAACATTGTCACTCTGCTCGTGTCGATTGTCAATAGCAAAACAACAGCGAAACTCACTTAGAAGCCGGATCGATTTAATTAAAATTTAAAGATAATAAAACTACAATTACTCAGAAAATATATCTACCATGAGTTTTCAATTACCAACCACAACAGCGGCTACAACTGGAGGATTTTCGTTTGGTGCCAACACCGCCGCTGCACAACCAGCAAAACCAAGTTTTAGTTTTGGCGCGACTGGTGGTGGTGATGCTGGAGCTGCAAAACCATTAAGTTTTGGATTTGGTGGGGCAGCTGCCACCACAACAGCAGCAACAAGCGCCGCTCCAGCCACTGCAACACCATCATTGGGTGGTTTAGGAGGTGGTACCAGTTTTGGCTTTGGTACTCCACCAGCTGCATCTGCAACTACAACGGCGGCCACTCCAAGCCTTGGCACTGGAGGTTTTGGTGGCTTTGGAGCGGCCCCAGCTGCAACAACCACATCCGCAGCATCTACAACGACGGCGGCAGCAACACAACCCGCAGCAGCTGCGCCTTTAACAAGTGGCTTCTCATTTGGAGCTCCAACGGCAGCCGCAACCACGGCACAGTCGTCCAGTACCACAGGAACCGGCCTGTCAACAGCCGCAGCAACAACAGCTGCAACGGCCACCGTGACCTCTAAACCACCAGCAACCGGAGGTTTTGCCAGTCTAACTACCGCCACAAAAACCACAGATTCCTCGGCCGTGGCCAATGCCTCACAGCTAACCTACAATCAATTGGAAGAACACATCAATAAATGGACCCTAGAATTGGAAGAACAAGAAAAAGTCTTTACCGATCAGGCGACACAAATCAATGCCTGGGATAAGGTTCTCATCAGCAACAATCAAAAGATTTTGGATCTAAATGATGCAGTACAAAAGGTAAAAGCCGATCAGCAGACCTTAGAACAAGAATTGGAATTTATTGCAACACAACACAAGGAATTGGAAGAAAGTATTGTACCACTGCAAAAGGAATTCATGAAAATACCACAAGTTGATGTTGAAAGATCACAAACTTACCTGATGGTTGAAAATCTAGATACCCAGCTAAAGCAAATGTCGGAAGATCTCAAAGAGATTATTGATAATCTGAATGAATCCAATAAGTGTCAGGATAATACAGATCCAATTATACAGATTGGTAAAATTCTAAATGCCCATATGAGTTCTCTGCAATGGATCGAACAGAGTACATCGAATATTGGCAACAAACTGGAAGATATAACAAAAATGCACGAGACATTTAAACGAGATTCGGAGAGGTCATTCCGTTCAGCTTATTATAATTAGGATAGGTGACGGACGGCAGAGTTTGTGCGAGAAGTCGTATTACATTTTTTTGTGTTTTTGAATTGTATATTTATATGTAATTGATTTCAATAAAATATATTAATTAATATGGAAAATGTTGAAAGGGTTGAATGTTCAGGTCAGCAACGAACAGTAAGTTTATCGTCAATATTATTCTGAGGGTGAAATAATGTCCAACCAGATTTGCTTTGAAGCGCCTAAAAGTATGCTTTGAAATTCAATATTTCTAAATCAGCCCTTTATTTTAAAGTATAGCGGCAACACTGGCAAATGCATGTGAATAGCGCCATCTATTGATACGCATGATTGAAAATCGCAAAGCGAAAGCTGAAAAGTCTCGACTTCTCACGTCTTTAAATAATAAAAACCGATATTTTCACACAATTCAAGGCCGATTTTATTCGGATTTGAATGGTATTGTTTGAAGCACATCTGAAGCCATTGTGTTGATAAATTTGTAGGAATTTTTATTTGGAACATAATATAAAATATGAACGTTTATTGCAGCCTTAATGTGATCATATATTTATAAGCTGTATTTATGCACAACAGTCTTTGATTTAAAGCGCAGAATTTATACAATTCTAATACAATTTGTATTGCTAAAGCTTACACAAATATGATTCACTCGATATCACATTAAAGCTACCATACGATTTTTAATTATGCGTATCAATAGATTTTTAATTATGCATATCAATAGATGGCGATATGCACATGCATTTGCCAGTGTTGCCGCCATACATTGAAATAAATCAATAATCTAGAAATGTTGAAGTTCAAAGCCTATTTTTAGGCGCTTCAAAACATAGGCTTGGATTTTTAAACGAATATATTTGGGAAGAATTCAAAAGAAACATAAGGCGCGGAAAAAAATTAAACTATATTAAAAATAAAAACAAATTTTAATATTTTTTTCCTTTATTTTATTTGTATTAACCTCTTTTTGTTGTTTTTAACTACAAAGAATCTCTTAAGAATACTAATTTGTTTTACAAATTGTGATTATTGTTGTTGCAGTTGTTTGGGTTCTCTTATTCACATCATGTTTTTTTATACAGAATTTAACTACTAATTATGATTTGTTTTTCTTGTTATTGTTGTTTGATTTTTGTGTTTGAATGATTGTAATGCGGATGATGATTATATGAATTAATGAACAAAACAAAAAAATCAAAAATCTGGAAGACAACAGTTTTGTATATATGAATAAAAAAATTATAGATATATATTTTTTGTTATTCATATCATTTTGTTTGTTTCCAATTACAATATAGTTGTAGTAAATAACAAAAATAAAAAGCGAAGAAAAAATATATTTACATTAGAATTGGGAAATCATTTTTTTTTTGTGGGGAAAAATGTGCGTAAAAAAAATAAAAATAATAATGATAATAATAAAATAGTAGCATAATAATAATGAATGCAATTTTGAAATCATTTAACAATTAATGTAATATCGATTTTTGTGTTTTTTTTTACAAATAATTTATGAATTTATAACGAATAATTACAGCTTTGTTGTGTGGGTGTAAGTGTTGGCTTGCATTTTGGAAAAAGGGTTGTGTGGATTTTTTGTGTTTCTAATAGAATTCGGTTAAATAAAAAGAAAAGAATTGGAATTACAAAAAACGATAAAAAAGCAAATCAGACTATATCATAGTATATTTTATAAAAAAAATGTAATGCTTTGCAAGATACTTTTGAATAGGATTAAGTTTGAACTTCATTAGTCCATTCTAAAGAGGACTGTAGTATTTCTATTGGATTGCGATTCGAAGGCTATTAGTTATTAGAATAACAATGATATACACAGATTGAGACACATCGGATCAAAGTGTTGGCCCTTTGTAAGGGAGGTACCAAAATAATATAGCGATGTTGACATATTCGGACTCGATCTAGATTTGGTAACATTATAAGAAATGCACTGAGTTTTGGGCAACAGCCAACAAGACGGACAAATAATCGGTCGAATGTTTGAAAATCCATCTCCAAATTACCTGAAAAGTATTTGGTCCTAGAATACTTGGACTTAAATGTGGAAAATTTGTAATAGCCTTACTTACAGCTGAAGATCTTAAAAAATTTAATGAAATCCATCAAAATACTTCAAATATTTAATAGCCTATTAAATAATTTAAATATAAAGTCAATTTGTAAATATATTGCCATTAAGATCTCTATAAGAAGGTCAATAGGTATTTTTATATATAAGACAATAGCAAAGCTAATAACAAACCAAGTGAACTTTAAATAGAAGACCAAGTTGGATCCAAATGGTACTCTAATTCTAATAAAAACCAAGTACACTTCTAAAGAAGATCGATTGGTCCGTTCATAGAAGGTTAATTATACGTAGGCTTTTTTATATATTTACTTAAGATTTTCCTCCAAGTTTTACTATTAACAGAAGACCAAGTTAGTTTATAAACCAAGGGGCCCTTCCAACAGAAGACCAACTAGGATTTTAATAATACTTCAACTAGAATACTAATAGGATGTCAAATTTATATTAAAAGTAGTCCAAATGTGACTCTAAGAGAGTACTGGCTGATTTTTCAATAGAAGATCAATTAGAATTTTCATTGAAGATTAAATAATTTCTGTTGATTGATGGGACGACTTGTAAGTTATTTGTGAATGTCTGGAATATTCGTAAAATATAAAATACCAGCTGGGAGTGTAATAGAGCGCCAAGTTGACTTCTGTTGGGGGACCAAAATGGTTTTCAATTGAAGACCAATTAGATATAATAATATGCCTATTGGGCCTCTCGTAGAAGCTGTAATGAGCATCCAATAAAAGATCAACTGAGACTCAAAGTGAACACCAATTGGATTCCCTTTAGAAGATCAACTCGGATTTAATAGAAGTCCAACTGGGCCTCTTGAATTTATAATAAAATACCGACAGGGTTTCTAATAGAAGACCAAATGTGTTTCTAGTAAGATATGAGCTGTGGACTTCTAAAGGAGATCATCTAGGTACTCAAAGACAATCCCATTTGGATACTAATGGAAAATCAAATGTTTTTTTTTAGTAGGAGACCAAATTGACTTCTAATTTAAGACCAAAGTGACCTTTAATAGAAAAATAAGGAGGTTTTCAACTGCGCTTCTCATATAAGACCAATTTGATTCATAAAGACCAACTGCGTCTCTAATAGACTGGGATCTAATAGAAATCTAATGGGACTTCTAATAGATGGTCATGTGGGATTCTAATAAGAGAGCAACTGGGATCCTTTATAGAATTCCCACTGGACTTCTAATAGGAGACCAAATTGACTTCTACATAACTTCTCTTGAAGGTGGCAATACTCAATCATTGACATTTTAATTCTATCTTATTACTTCCACATTGTTTTTGTTGTAATGAAAAGTATATTTCCGTCTATTCCAATTCCTGAATTTCTCAAAATTTATATATGTATATAGTGAAGGGCTATTGATATTTTTTAAACATACGAATTTAGATAATTTAAATAATGTGCAAGTGGATATACAATAGAATAAGTGTGCATGCCTTTGTGTGTATGTATATGTATGGATATGTATAAAAGAAATGATATAATAAGTTAATAAACTTTAAAACATAACAAAATGAAAAAATGGAATAATAATAAAAAATAAAAACAAAATTATAATAAAAAACATATTTAAAAAAATAATTCGCTATGAAACAAGCAACGTTTTTTGTTTTGTTGTTGTTGTTTTTGTTTACTTTTGATTGGTTTATATCTTTGTGTATGTAATGGGGGAGGGTGTTTGCGGCAGTGGTATTAAGAAATGAGTATTTGAATTTGTAATTCTTTTTATGATTTTTTTCGCAATTGTTTAACAATTCGTATCGAAATGGAATTAATGTTTTTATGAAAAGTGTGTGCGAGTTGTTTTTATAAATAATAATAATTTTGTTTCGATTTCGAAAATAAGATGATTTGTATGAGTTTTGTGCCTTTTTTTACAAATTAAAAAAAATAATAATAATCTTCTCTTGTTTCGCTTTTTGTTTAAATAGTGGATAGTAGTTAGTAGGGCGAGCTTTATAACTTTTACGCTGAACCCGCCGATGATGATGACGATGCTGAGTTTGAACCCATGGGTTGGGGACCACGCGGTTTTATCATCATTGTGGCCTTCTTGAGGGTATAATCCCAACCGCGCCAGCGGAACCAAACAATACCCTGGCGGGCAGTTAAATCTTGGGGATCGTGTAAATACAAACCATTCAAGCCTCGGCCGCATGACTTCCACCACCAACCGCCCTGTAAATATAGAACATTAATTTCAAATACAAATCATATTTTTATTCAAATATCTCTCTTACCTTCAGCATACTGGCACAATTCAACGATGATCGATCATTATCCCGATTATATGTTGAGAAGGGGCTATTGTTCGAACCATACCAGGGATCATTTAAGGAATCACCAGCATTACCCTCATAACCATCGATTTCCAATTTATAATAATCAGCTTCCGAATGGATTTTAAAGTGGGCATATTGAGCATATCTGGGGAGGAGGAGGGAGGAATAAAATTTAATAAAGTAATATTAACCAATTTATTATACTAACCTCTTATTGCCTTCAAAATCTTCCAGCTCAACTCTCAAGATATAATCTTCATTATTCGTTAACATATAGATGTTCTCATTGCCCAACCAAAATTCCTTGGCTGGATCGCCAAATCCGTTTTTGTAATCTGCCCAATCACGATTGAAATTTTCTCGTGGCTCACCGAAATCATCACGTCTTTGTATGACCTAGAATGAGAGGTATAATTTTTAATATTTTTTGGAATAATTTAAGAGAATGATGTGCTTACCGTCCAACCGCCATCAGCGATTTCCTGCTCGCAGAATACCTTCAAAAACCAATAGGTGGTACCACGTATTTGCAAATAGAATACCCCGGATTGTTTCATGCCGGCGTTTAATAAATCAACGCAAGAGAAACCCTGGAAGGAGGAAAAAAATGAGGAAATTTAATTGACTCTGTGGTAGTAGAGGTTAAAGAAGAGAAGGAAAAAAGAAAATCAACTGGGATTCTTATTGAAATCCGAATGAGTTTTTAAATGAAGACAAACAGCTTTCTAATCGGAAAGTAACTGGACTTCTAATAAAATACCAATTGGACTATCAATAGAAGACTTGCTGGGATTCTAATAGAAGACCAACGGGACTTCTGATATAAAAACAAAAATGGTTTTCAAGTGAATTGCGTAGAAGTTCAATCGGATTCTGATAGGAGATCAGCTGGGCTTCAAATGGGAAGGAAGAAAGTTAAACGGAGCTTCTAATAAGAGATCAGCTGGGCGTCAAATTGAATAGAAGAAGGATTCTAACTGCGTTTCTCATATAAGAACAAATTGGATTTTTCAAATGTGTCTCTAATAAAATTCCGACTGCGGTCTAATAGAAAAACCAACTGGGCTTATAATAGGAGACACAATTGGACTTCTTATTAAGTACCAAAGTGACATCTAATAGAATATCCCACTGTGTTTTTTATAGGATTCCAAATGCCCTTTTCATAGAAGATCAATTGGATTTACAAAGACCAACAGTATTTCTAACTGAAGTCCGATTGGGACCAAGAAGAGCGAGTGGGTTTCTAATAGAGGTCCAAATATGCTTATGAAAAGAGGGCCACTAGTGTTATAATAGGAATTAAACTGCGAAGAAATAGACGATCAATTGTATTTGGATTTGTTAAAGAATACAAACTGGAATTGTGATAGGAGATCAAATGGGAATTAAATATATGACTAATTGGATTCTTATAGGATAACAACTGGACTTTTAAATAGGATATCAATGGGAATTCTAATGGAAGACCAATTAGAGTTCCAATAGAATGCTAATTGGGCTTTTAATAGGATTCAACATGGCTTCTAAAAGAAGACCAAATATGATTCTAATATAAGAGCAACTGGGTTTCTAATAGGATATGAACAGGGACTTAAATAGATTGCCAATTGAATTCCTCATAAAATATCAATTGGGCTTCTAATAGCAGATCAATTGGAACTCAAATAGATGACCAAGATTCCATATAAAGTACCAAAAAGAGATCCACAATTGTTCTAATAGGAAATAAACTAGGACTGAAATAGATGATCAATTGGATTCCTTAAAGAATACCAACTGGAAATGTAATAGATCAACTGAGACTTAAATATATGACTAATTGGATTCCTTATAGAAACAACTGGAATTCTAATAGGAGATGAACTAGGACTTAAATATATGATCAATTGGATTTCTTATAGAATACCAACTGGGCTTTTAATAGAATATAACAGGGCTTCTAATAGGAGATCAAATGTAATTCTAATAAGAGAGCAACTGGATTTCTTATAGGATATGAACTGGGACTTAAATAGATTACCAATTGAACTCCTTATAAAATACCATCTGGACTTTTAATAGCAGACCAAGTGGGACTCAAATAGATGGCAAATTGGATTTGATATAAATTACCAACTGAGCTTCTAATAGGAGACTAAATGGAATTCTAATAGAAGACCAGTTGAGCTGTTCATAGATACATAAATAGGTTTCTAATAGAGGATCAAATCGACTTCTAGAGAAATGATAATAGCCGTCTAATAGGAAACTATCTTGGCTTCTAATAAAATACCAACTCAGATTCCAATAAAAGTCCAACTAGGATTCCAATAGAATATCAAAACTAGAAGATCAATTGCATTACGAGTATAAGACCGATTGGGATTCTAATGGGACTCTAAATGGAATTCTAATAGAAGGTCAATTGAACCACCAAATGGTTCCTAATAAAGGATAAAAAGGACTTCTAGAGAAGACAAACCAAACATCTAATAGGAAACCAAATTGACTTCTAACAAAATACCAACTGAGATTCAAATAAGAGTCCAACTAGGATTCAAATAGGATATCATAAATAGAAGAACAATTGCATTATGATTTTAACACCGATTGGGATTCTAATGGGAGTGTAAAATGGGTTCCTAATAAAGAAGAAGGCCAACATGGATTCCCATAGAGGACTATGGAGGAAGTCAAAGTAGGCAATATGAGATACCAGATGATCTATTAGCTTCTTTATAGAATACCAAGAGGGCTGGTTTTTTATAAAATACCAACTGGAATTTTGGTAAAAATTGCACCCAATAGAATAGAATTTTTAATATATATTTTTTGGAAATCCCTTAAATTAAAAAAAATATATATTTTTTTTCAACTCACCTTAACATCCTTTATGGTTAATATATCTGTGGTGAATGTATTATTCACCACCGATGGTTTGTTCTTGACACTGGGGAATATGATGCCACCTTTACGCGACAGAGGTTTTGAAGATGACGAAGTCGTTTGCGATGTTGACGATGAAGATGATGATGTACTGCTTGCCGTGGTTGTCGATGAAGAAGCAGAGGATGACGAAGTTTGATTAAAATTAACACCTGCAGCATTTGTTGTGGGTATTGGGGTGGTAGAGGCAAATGTACCCGAGGATTGATAGGAAGAAGCCAATACTACAGAGGGTGTGGTAATTACCGATGAGGACGAAGAAGAAATAGAAGAGGAGGAGGAGGAGGAAGAGGAAGTAGAAGACGAGGAGGACGATGATGAAGAAGAAGAATGTGTTGAGGTTGGTGTGGGTGTTGTTGCTCCCAATGAAGCAGTTGAGGGTGTTGTTTGAGCTGATGTTGTTGTTGTGGAACTACTACTTTGTACGGTATAATCATCTATGACGGAGTATCTACGATAGGATAGGTATTTTTGGATCAAAATGTAAATACAGTTATTTGTTGTGTATAAATTGTGGTTTAAAGGTAGGTAGGTATGTTGTTTTGACCGATAGTTACCCCAAAAAAACAAGGTTTAGGGTAGAGGTAGAAAAGAGATTTGTGTAGGGGTAACATTTTTGGAATTTTTTTTCAGAGTAATAAAGGAAAATTCGAATAAAGTCAAATATGAATGAGTAAAAAAGAGATTCTTATTTCAGATTAAGACAGATTTTTTTGAAAGCTCAAGGCCTATTAATAAGCTAATCGAGGAAGAACAGCTGCTTCTGGGCAAGGCTTTTAGTTAATAAATAATAAGGTCATCCAGGGTGACCTTATCAAGATCTATTAATATGGTCAACCAGCTAACGAAAGTCAGCTCTTTTCTTTCAAGTCTAATGTCAACAATTTGGCTTCTGTTTACGTTTTGATATTGGAAATCAATTCATAATATTGAATTTTGAGAGTAAACTTTAGAGTCAACTGATATCCAATTGGTCTCCCTGGACGACCTTATTTATAGGTCTTGGTCAGTTGTTTTTCTCAAGTCTAATGTCATACAATTGGACCAAGATATATTTATATGGTCAACCAGTTAACGAATGTCAGCTGTTTTCTTTCAAGTAATTAGAGTTTTAAATCTTTGAAATGTATATTGTGAATTAATACATTTTCTCATGTGTTATTGTGAATGGTTGATAATTTATATTAAACAAGGAATATCCTTTGGGCTTCTTATGGCAGACCCATTAGACTTACATTAGAAAACGATCTTATTTATAGGCATTGGTCAGATGTTTTTCTCAAGTCTAATGTCAAAAATTTGGACCAAGATCTATTAATATGGTCAACCAGCTAACAAAAGTCAGCTGTTTCCTTTCAAGTCTAATGTCAAAAATTTGGCTTTTGTTTACGTTTTCATAAAGGAAGCCAATTCACAATAATGACTTTTTGACAGCAAACTTAAAAGTCAGCTGATATCCAGCTGGTCTATTAGTAGGCTTTGGACCTTACTAATAGGTATTGATTTATAGTTATCGAGGGCCTAATAATAAAGGATCTGAATGGAGTACTAATAGAAGGTCAACGAGCTTGCTATGGAATATCATTTGGGCTTCATATGGAAGACTTACTGGACTTACATTAGAAAACAACAGGACTTCTCTAATAGATTCCAATAAACAAACAATTGAACTTATAACTGAAGACTAGCTGGGATTGAAAGACGGACGACATAACTCTAATAGAATAATTTTCTAATAGACGACTGATTGGATTTCAAATAGACGATTAATCTGATGTCTAATAGAGGAGCAACTGGACTTCTAATAGAAGATCAATTAGGTTTCTAATAGAGGATCAACTCTAATATACGATTAAATAGATCTTCAAATAGACGACCAACTGGTCTTCGACAGCTTTTTCTGAAGTTTAATGCCAACAATTTGGCTAACTTCAGAAGCCGTTGATCTTCTAGGATGACCTTATTAATAGGCCTAGTGCATTAAATTCAGAATAGTATATTTTGACAGAAAACTTTAGAAGCAACTGATCTTGTTGTTTGAGTCAAGGTCTATTAATAAGGTCAACCAGGAAGCGAAAACAACAGTTCATTCTCAAATTTTGGGCCAACAATTTGGCAAACTTGAGAAGCAGTTGATCTTCCAGGGTGACCTTTTTAATATGCCTTGGTGTGAGCCTATTATTAGACCTTATTTGATTGTTTACTCTTTCATACTGTGAATTCAATTCACAATAATAAATTCAGACAGTAAACTTGAGAAATATCGGAACTTCCTGGGTGACAAAACAGAATATTTTATAGAAGACTAGCTAGACTTTTTGGAAAAGACCAATTGCACACTTTATAGAACTGGTCTTTTTATGGAGTAACAATGCACAATAAATTATTTTGACAGGCAACTTGAGGAACAGCTGGCCTCATTATTTGTGTCAAGGACTATTAATAAGGTCATCTAGGAATTATAAAAGCAGCTTTTTGGTCTCATGTTTAATGTCAAGAATTTGCCATATAAAAAGGTGTAAGGCTATCAACAGGTCTCACTTTGTTGTTTCCATTCATTTCATTCTGTGATTCAATTCAAAATAATGATTTTTGACAGTAAACGTGAAAAACAGCTGAACTTTCAGGGATAGTTTATAGGCCTTGGATTATAATAAGGAGGCTTATTATAATAATCAAGACATATAAATAAGGTCATCCAGAGAGATCAGCTGGATATCAACTGCCTTTCAAGTTGGCTGTCAAATTCCATTATTGTGAATTGACTTCCATTAAAAAACGTAAACAAAGTCCAAACTTGTTGACATTAGATTTGAGAAAAACAGCTGAATGTTTTTAGCTGGATGAACTTATTAATAGATCCTGATAATAATCAGCTGTTATTACTGCGAATTCAATTCACAATAGTGTATTTTATTGGGTAACCCTATTACGCATTTCGCTTGTATGTTTTCATTTTTATACTGTGAATTCAATTCAAAATAATACATTTTGAGAGGAACTTTAAGAAACAGCTGATCTTCATAGGTGAACTTATTTAATTTTCATGGATTTTAATGAGGATATGTTAAGGCTTCCTTTATAAGTTAATTCAGATATATTCCTTCTAAAACATATTTTCAATTTTAAAGTATAAACCAAAGACTTCTCAGTACTTTATTCGAACTTTCCCCAGACTTTCCAATTTCGTTTTTTTTACCAATTCAACCAACCTTTGTTTAAACCAAAACCTAAATAAAAAATAAATTAAAAAAAAAAACAGACAAACCCACCTATTCGGATCATATTCCACCAAACGATCAATTGTTGGATCCATCAGCAATTCAGCTGGCACCGGACGTTGAGCCAGCAACTGAACATCATCTTCTTGTTTCTTCAAACGTTTCTCAACCATATCCAAATTATTGATAATTAAATTTGTCTTCGTTTTCAGATCTTGATGTATCTCACCGATGGCGCGTTCCTGACGTTGTGTCTGCGTCAGCAAAGCATCCGATTTGGGTAGTAAATGATCAACTGATGACTTGGTGCCCACTACAACATCCCATACTTCATCCATTTTTTCCGATACCGATACCATTGGACTTATTTTCTTGACAAGAGCATCAATTTTACTTGACTTAATCAAAGGCATAGCTGTGGTGGTGGCATTTACATTATTATATTCGGCATGATGATCGACAACAGCTTCGTGAATATCACCCACCATACGCAGCATACGGCCAACATTTTCCGATACAATATTTATGTGAAATTGTAATTTTTTATCAATATTATCGGTGGTGTCGCGTAGTTCACTTAATTCATTCGAGACATGTGACATCACTTCGGCATTCATGGCCTTGGTAATTTCAATGACATTCATGCTAATCGGTTTCTTTTCGCTAGCCTCGGCATTAAATTCATCAACTTGTAGCAGATTATTGTCAATTTGATTTTTCAATCCCTCCAATTTCGAATCAATGTCACTGACTTTTTGATCCAACAATACAAGACGAGAGTCTAATTGAATGGTCGACGATGCTGAAGAGGTACGAGCCGAACGACCACTACTTCCTGTTCTACGATTTGTTTCGGTATTTAATGCTGCAGCTGTGGCTGAATCAATTATATCATTGGATATTTTCACATCTAAGGAGCGTAATTTCGATATCACCGAATCGGTTTTTATTAAATTATCCGATACACGATTATCCAAAATTTCCATACGTCTCATCATATGTTCAACAGATTTATCCAGATTATCGATGCGCTTTAATTTTCCTTCCAATGTGTTGATGATAACCTCAAAGATGTTGAGGAGTTGTTGTTCTCTGGAAGAAAGAAAATAAATAAAATTATAATTTAAACAAATAATTCAGTAATAAAAACCAGTAAGGAAAGTAGTAATGTCAGACTGGGCCGACTATATGATACCCTTCACCAATTTGGTATATTCTACATATATATCATAATAGTCGTCATCTTTCGAAGGCATATTGACATAAAATTGAACGAACTTAAATATGTCATCTTTATCTATATGTGAACCGACTAACATCAATCCGTACATATATTCTGTAACCTATGCTGTGTTTCATTTCATTAAGGCAGATTTAGAGTCGTCAAACTTTCGTGTCAATCGGACAAATATTAGGAGTTTGGTGCACCATTTACCAAAAATCGGACGAAATTATATATGGGAGCTATATGTAAATCTGAACCGATTTTCACGAAACTTAACACACATCATTCTGGGCCCAATTCAGTACCCTATGCCGAATTTCGTGCAAATCGGAAGATATATAGGGACTTTGGTGCCCCATTTACCTTAACTCGGACGAAAAATTATATGGGCGCTATATCTAAATTTGACCCGATTTTCTCGAAACTTGGCACACGTCATTCTAGGCTTAATTCACTAAGCTGTGCTAAATTTCGTGCAAATCGAGGTATATGTAGCGACTTTGGTGCACCATTTACCTTAAATCGTACGAAAATATAAATGGGAGCTATATCTAAATCTGAACCGATTTTTACGAAACTTTGTACACATCAGTCTAGGCTGAATTCAGTACGCTGTGCCAAATTTCGTACAAATCGGATTATTTATAGAGACTTTGCTGCACCATTTACCTTAAATCGTACGAAACTATATATGGGACCTATATCTAACTCTGAACCGATTTTCACGTAACTTAGCACACATCATTCTAGCTTAATTCAGTATGCTGTGCCAAATTTCGTGCAAATCGAAAGATATATAGACACTTTGGTACACAATTTACCTGAAATCGGACGAAAATATATATGGGAGCTATATCTAAATGTGAACCGATTTTCAGGAAACTTAACACACATTATTCTAGGCCTAATTCATTACGCTGTACCAAATTTCGTGCAAATCGAAAGATATATATGGACTTTGGTGCACCATTTACCTTAAATCGGACGAAAATATATATGGGAGCTATATCTAAATCTGAACCGATTTTCACGAAACTTAGCACACATTATTCTAGGCTTAATTCACTACGTTGTGCCAAATTTCGTGCAAATCGTGGGATATGTAGCGACTTTGGAGCACCATTTACCTTAAATCGGACGAAAATATATATGGGAGCTATATCTAAATCTGAACCGATTTTCACGAAACTAAGCACACATCACTCTAGACTTAATTCCGTACGCTGTGCCAAATTTCGTTCAAATCGAAAGATATATAGGGCCATTGGTACACCATTTACATAAAATCGGATGAAACTATATATGAAAGCTATATCTAAATCTTGACCGATTTTCACGAAACTTGAGAGACATAACTCTAGGCTCAATTCAGTACGTTATGCCAAATTTCGTGCAAATCGAAAAATATATAGGGACTTTGGTGCACCATTTACATGAAATCGGAAGAAACTATATATGGGATCTATATATAAATCTGGACCGATTTTCTCGAAACTTGGCAGGCATCATTCCAGGCTCAATTCACTACGTTATACCAAATTTCGTGCAAATCCAAAGATATATAGGGACTTTGGTGCGCCATTTACATGAAATCGGACGAAAATATATATGGGAGCTATATCTAAATCTGAACCGATATTCACGAAACTTAGCACACATCATTCTAGGCTTAATACACTACGCTGTGCCAAATTTCGTGCAAATCGGAAGATTTAAGGGACTTTGGTGCACCATTTCCCTTAAACCGGACGAAAATCTTTTTGGGAGCTATATCTAAATCTGAATCGATTTTTTCCAATTTCAACAGGGTTTGTCCTTGAGCCAAATAAATGAGCTGTGCCAAATTTCATCCAATTCGTATCAAAAATGCGACCTGTACTTTGTTTACAATTTAACATGGACAGACAGACGGACGGACGGGCATGCACAAATCGATTTAAAAAGTGATTCTATGCATATTCTCAAAAGGAACCATGTGTCTATCTCGTTTCATTTTGCCTGTTACGAACATATGCACAAAGACATAATACCCTGTACCACAATGTGGTGAAGGGTCTAATAATTATAGAGGTTATATGTTGCGTATACGTATTGCAGTGACTTATACGGCACCATACACACCTTCATTAAAAGTGAATAAATTGCTTTAAACATTTTTTTCAATATTTTTTAATGATTTTTCAAGCCAAGGAAGGTGTGTGGATTTATTAAATAATATTTTTTCATGACAGTGGTAATTCAAGGACCAACAATTGTTTTTGCGGACCTTCAGTTCAAACATAAAGCCTCACAAGATAAAGCAACCTCTTCATAATATCCATAATAGAGTTGTTATAGAGAAATACTCTGAATGAATTATTGCAATTGTTAAATATTTGTTAATAAGTGTTACAAATATTAACCAATTCAAAAAAAAAAAAAAAAAAAAAAAAACAAATACAAATTGTTCCAAGAAACAAATCTCATAATTATCTCTTGGCATTTCAATTATAATTTCCATACAAATGACTTGTTTCCTCTTCAAAATTGCCTTCAGGCGAACTGGTGGATATGAAGCACATTAGACCAGTGCATAGCATTTAAAGATTGGCCAATCTCAATTTTATTTCGGTTTTTTTATTTTTTTTTTATTTTTGGGTATTACAATTTTCGGACTTATCATTTTGGGGTAATTTAGACACAGCTGTGTTGCAAATTTAACACATTTTTCAGCACAAGGTGTTTGAATGTAGTTGTTGCTGCCATTTGCTATCGTTTTATGATCGTTCAATATTTATGAAATTATTAAACAATTACATTTTTCGGACAGCATAGACAGGAGGAGTACGCACTCACACAAACGCACACACGGACACTCGTGTGTGCTGTTCATACAATTTAATTAACAATTGATTGATTTCGGCAGGTCCGCACCAGATGTGCTGGTGCGGTATGGTGCACAGCTACTCCACTTTCATTAACCACTTGTTATCGGAGTAATTAATAATACAATTTTTTTCTTGTGGATCAGGCCCCCTCAATATAAAATATGGTCTTTTGCAATATATTGTTGCTGTTAGTTTGTTGGTGGCATGTCGTGTAATCATGGTTTTACATTGTTTTTTATTGGCCAATAAAGCCTCCACCATCCAATTAAGCTATCAACCAAATTCACATGTTGTAATTGCAACATCGGATTTGTTTTTGTTGTGGTGCGAAAGGGGCTTATGGATTATTTTGTTGTTGTTATCGAATGCAGAAATATGGAACAAGAGTGAAAGGAAGAGTTGCCAGGTGTTAAAGGATTAAATGCTAGCACTAAGATAAAAAAAATTAATTAACATCGAAGGACCATTAAAAATTACCCCCCCTTGGTAGTCATCTAAACCGATTCCAAAAATCTTCGCACATATCAATCTGGACTTTATTAAGTCCAGATTGATATGTCCGTTTGTCACAAACGGACCAATATTGGGATTTGAGTGCACCATTTACCTAAAATCGGGCGAAACTATATATGGGAGCTATAAATAAACCTGAACCGATTTCAACAAAATTTCGGATACATCAATTTGGACCTTATTCAGTACACTGTGCAAAATGTTGACTTAATTGGACCAATATTAGGAGTTTGGTGCACCATTTACAAAAAATCGGAAGAAATTATATATGGGAGCTATATCTAAATCTGAACCGATTTCAACAAAATTTTGCATACACCAATCCAGACCTAATTAAGTACTCTGTGCAAAATTTTGTCTTAATCGAACCAATATTGGCAGTATGGTGCTCTATTTACCTAAAATCGGACGAGACTATATATGGGTGCTATATCTAAATCTGAACCGATTTCACCAAACCTTGGCATATATCAATCTGGGCCTAATTTCGTACTCTGTGCAAAATTTTGTCCCAATCGGACCAATATTGTGAGTTTGATGCACCATTTACAAAAAATCGGACGAAACTGTATATGGGAGCTATATCTAAATCTGAACCGATTTTCAATAGGGTTCGTCCTTGGGCCAAATAAGTGACATGTTCCAAATTTCATCAAAATCGGATCATAAATGCGACCTGTACTTTGTTCACAAAAATACATGGACGTAAGGACAGACGAATAGACGGACGGACGGGCGGTCATGCATATATCGACTTAGAAAGTGATTCTATGCATATTCTCAAAAGGAACCATGGGTCTGTCTCGCTTCTATTTGCCTGTTACAAACATATGTACAAAGACATAATACCCTGCACCACAGTGTGGTGAAGTGTATTAAGATTTCCAGGCGCGTCGGTCTTTTGTGTAGTTTTTCCAGTTTGAAAGATCGTATTCCGCAAAGTTTTCTTCCACTTGATCTTTCCATTTTATTCGTGGCCTTCTTCTTCTGCGTGAGCCATCAGCTGGTTCGCTTTTATATGCCTTTTGGGTTGGGGCATCTTCATGACCTAGCCAACGTTGTCGCTGCAGCTCAATACGTCTAACAATGCCGATGTCCGAAAATAGCTCGTACAGCTCATGTTTCATTCGACGGCGATATTCACCGTTAACGCAGATCGGCCCAGAGATCTTTCGGAGAACATTTCTCCCAAACACTCCAAGAGCTGCCTCATCTGTTTGCGTAAGTACCCACGCTTCAGATCCATATAATAGCACGGGTGGTATCAGCGTATTTCATAGTGTGAGTTTGGTCTGGCGGGAGGTGGCCATGCTTTTGAGTTGCTTACTCAGTCCATAGTAGCATCTTCTGTTGGCCAACACTATCCTTCTCCGAATTTCAAAACTGATGTATATAAAATCTTTGACTA